CACCTAATCCCCTTTTCTTCACAGTCTCACAGCTGCCACATTCCACCTCTATCTTTCTCCCCAAGACAAATTCTGTTTTCAAAGGGAAAACTATAAGCAATGTTGCCAGCAGTGACTCTTAACAATATAGCACATTCAAGAAAAATAAACTTATCACATCTACGGTCTTATCTGAAACATTTTTTAAACATTGAAAGAAATTAAAAGGACTATGTATTTAGAACCTTTCAGCTAGGCTTAGTAAGTTTTTCTTCCCAACTATCTAGCTCCAATTTGACTTTCTTACAGCAGTCACACTCTCTGGAAAGGTATATCTCCCCTCAACCCCCAAGAAAATCTGACAATCATTTCTCTTGTTGCTCTTTGTATTTAAATAAAGTACAATGGCTACATCTTTCCCCCATCAGTACTTTAAAATTATATTTTATCAGAAGGCAAAAAGAAATCCACTTTACATTGAAGATCATTTGTAGGTCTGTTTTTTTTTGTTCTTTTTTTTTGGTGAGAGTGGAGAAATATCAGGCTAGCAACAGAAAACAATAAAGGCAGGCACTCAGAGAAAACCCCCTATCTTATGTCTTTACTGTGTATGTATATATATGATACCCCCAGGTTCTAACTCAGGAAAGCAGTTAATTCTTTAGTGTAATTTTATATCTTGCACATTTATTTGTTACACATGGGTTTTTAACTTTTAACATTAAGGATTTGCGCCGATAGGCCGTGATGCCAGTTGCGCAATTTGGCAAAGCGTGGGCTGTTACGTTCCGTTTCAAACCTTTCCCTGTGGCATGGAGAAAGAGAGAGAGAAAGAAAAAGACAGAGAGAGAGAAAGAAAGGAGAAAGAAAGGGGTTAGGGAATGTGGCCACTACTCCCCTGCTTTATAACTAGGGCAATGGCAATTTATTTGGATTTACGTTACCTCCCAAAATAAAGGCAAACTAGGCTGGGTGATCCTTTTCCAGAGAAATTTTGGAAAGCTTTTTAGATTTGTATTTTTGAGCTGTAATGTAACACAAATTTGTATTCCTTGGTTTTGTTTTTGTTTGACAGGGCTGCTTTTGCTAGAAAT